GTAGATAATACTGTTCTGAGGTCGATAGGGACCCCTAAAGGGTGATCGTGGAGCCGACCAGAAGTTGTTGTGCTGTACTGGGTGAAAGTCCTGTGAAGGAAAGCCGATAAACTGGCCTGACGCCTCGTTCAAGGATTCTCCACTCGGCTGCGATGATGGTTCGTGTTGCTGGAAATGCCACGGCTCTGCAGGAGGATAGTGTTGTGATCTGGGATGCTCAAAATACGGTCCACTCGCGGACCCTTGAAGGTGAGCCACTGGCCCCTCCATGGATGGCTCCCTCCACTGTGGATGTTGCTGCTCGAACTGCCACGGTTGTTGGTGCCGCTGCTGATGGTGGTGGTCGTTTTGGTGGTGATTCGGCTGGAAATACCACTGGTTAGCTCCCTGCTCTCGAAGGTGCCATTCATGATCCTGAGCCCATGGGGCGTGGTGATTAAAAATGGGCGTGATCTCCTGTCCAGTGGGGTTCTGATCAAATCCATACCCCTTTTGATCGCGCTGGCCCCGGTATGGATGTGATGTCTGTTGCCGCTGCTTTTGGTTTTGCGTCTGCAAAAATGACGGAGAATATGCGGATTTCAATGAGTTTCGCCAAGGGAAGTCCGGTTTTTCACTTCTTTCCTGCTGAAATGGCCAGTTTTGCACAGACTCGTGGGTCGGTTGGTAGGACGGATCAAAGTCATAAGGCAGAAGTGGCAGGCATCTAGCCTGTAGCAGGAGGAGCAAAAGGCAACAAACAGCTCTCAGTGCACGCATTTTGACGTTGGCACACAATGATTCTGTGTTGTGCGCGATAACCCATAACAGTCTTATTGATTATTGATTACTGGATTGAGTCCATCAGAGTGCAAGGCGCGACATGTGCTCTTTAAACGCAGGTCGCATGACTTGATCCGAGGTCAAACTGCGAATGGGCACATGAGTGAAGATGCTTGAAGGATGTTTAAATTTTTGTGAAAAGTAACCGAGCAGTAGAATGACATTCATTTTTAAATTTTACTGGGAATTGCAGCCTGCTTTTTTTACATTATTATCATTATATCAGCAAAAAATGAAGTATAAATTGTGGAACGCAGGGCTCGACGACGTTTGTTTAAAGTAGTTGCGTCGGGTGCATTTTAACGCATCGGCTCGGTCTACTGATTTCTTTTTTTGTTTGTTTGCCCCTTAAAAGCAGCGAATCCCTCCCTGATCAGCCGGTTTTCTCTACATTCAGGTACGTCAACAAAGTTTAAGAAAACACAGATCGACACCAGTTGATGAAGATTCGCTGAAGTTCACTAACAGAACTCCCTCGTCCCTCTCTGCCTTGGAGCTCATTCTCGAGTCCCGTCCTGAACCTGCAAGATACCGAGCTCATGGCTTAATCATTAGAGCGTTAGTTATCTAATCAGAAAGGCCACGAGTTCGAGTCTCGGGTGGTGCACCACTTGGGGAGGTGGGTATGACTGGCTGGCGACGGCTAATAAGCCAGAAGTGGTCGTTCCAGTCTCCCTGGTCTTTGCCGACTATGCTGGACCAACACCTGACCTAGATCAGGGCACGACAGATGTTATTGGAGTTGCACTCCCATAACATGTGGGAGGGGCCGGCTCACGCGGCGCCTGCAACGCACGCCTTATCCCGCCTCCGGTCTTCTTCAGTCTGTCTTGACACCAGGCACAGATTGGTGAGGGAAAAGAGAGAGTGTGGGAGATGCAGCGTAAGTCTGCTACCACTTAAAACTAATCCACACGCAAGTCACCGTGACTGAGTCAATATAACGTGGTCATCGTAGGAATCGAAGGTCGAACCGTCATTACGAACTCTAAGTGTAGTGTACTATAATATTTTACATATACTATACTATATACACTATATTTCGGTCCATGAACTCATTTATTTTTCTGTGTATTCTTTTGAGGATGATGAAGG